TGTAAGCTTAAGGTGATATATAAAATGGAGTATATTAAAAATACCATATAAGAGAGGTGTTTAGAGTTAACCTACGTCATATGAATAACTGTGTGGGTAGCAATGGTAGCCATATTTAGAAGAAGAGAATAAGGCATGGAAGAAGAAAAAAAAAATTCGAATTAACCTTAAAAGAAAAAGACTAAGGAAGAGAATGATTAGATGGAAAAATAATTTTATTCTTTATATATACAATGATAATGTCATACACACACGCACACACACACACAATTTAAAGATAAATCTTTAATAATGATGTTGAAACATAAACAAAAAATATTACAGAAAAGTGAAATAACGGTGTATAAATTATAGGAAAAAGTTACGGAAAAAAACAAGGGATAGAAAATAATGATACGGACGTTAAAGGTTTCTAGATAATTTTTAAATATCAATTACTCTTACACAAGGACTAGTCTGTAGGTTAATTTTTTTTTATCTTCTTCTTCTTCTTCTTTTTCGAATCGTCTGAACTATTATGAAGTTTCTAGGAATTTGTTGGTACACCAAGGAACTTTCAAGATCTATTGAGTGATTTTTTTTTAAATTGGCGATAAATAATAATAAAAAAAAAAAAAGATGCGAATGAAAGGAAAAAAGGAAGAAGAATTGCGTATAGAGTGCGCGGGAATTTCAAACGTAATTTTCCGCGCCATTTACTAACTCATGGCCCATTTATATCTTCGAGATTCCGATAGCTCTCTTTTCGCGTTTATTAGAAGAGCCTAGAAGGTCGAGAAGCAGGCATTTCCTCTCGAATAATCTTTCTCGGTGGCGGCCACCGCCAAGCAAGCAAGCAAGCAGCAACCTGGTGACTCATCTCAGTCTCTCTTTCTTTCTCATTGCACTGTCTTCTTCCTCTCTCTTTCTCTCTTTCTCTCTTTTTTCCTTTACTTCATCTTGCCATGATGTGTCCCATATTTTTAAACCAATCTACTCTGTATGTCTCTCTTTATCTCTCTTTTCGATTATTTCAATTATTTAGGTATTTTAACACATTAATTATAACCTACAAATCATTTTCAATAAATTGAAAAATCTTCAGTGGCTCTCAATCTCTTGTTATTTTTATTTTTATATTGTTTTAGTGATTTCAATCATTTATACCAAAATTGGAATAAATGTTATTAGACTCTTAGATCTTACCTTGCATTTAAACACTGTGATTATAACTTATAAATTATTTCCAAATATGAACAAATTTTTCCTTCTTTTTATCTTGATCCAATAATTTAGATAATTTTCATTTTTCTAATTTCTTTTTCTCATTATTATTTTTCCCCATTCTTCAATTTTCCCCAGATCTTTTGGCATGCGCATAATCAATTTTTTTCCCCGTCTTCCATCCTTTCCTCTGCATTTGCATAAATCATCACTTTCGTAACGATTTCTACCAAAGCCTTTTCAACCGACCATCGGAATTTTTATTTTCATATAGAAGTTGATTCATGGAAGTGTTTCCTTCTACAGGTTTTATTTTTTTTTTCTCTAGAAATTTCTTCTCAATTCTATCGACTTTTTCTTCCTATAATATTCCCCACTTCTTTCTATTCTTTTTTTCTTTTCACATTTTATCCTTAATTCAGAATAGGATATTCTTTAAATTTTACAACGATCAATTTTGTGTGTGTGTGTGTGTGTGTGTACTTTTAACCTGAATTATTAAGAAAACTATTTATAAAAATTAGTCATAGTATATTCATTTATTTTCTACAAAATTATTTAAATAAATGATTGTATAGAATTCTTTTCTATTTTTGGTTCACGGCGTTAACTCTCTTGACTTCTTTAAAAAATGCGTTCTTCGTAAGGAGAAACAGGGTCGAGGGTGGCTGTTGTACAAATGCAAAAACAGTACACGTGTATGTGCGTACGTAAGTAAGTATGTACATATACATATACATGTTTACATTGGTACGCGTACGTAAAGACAGACGCTGGCCGCTCGCCCGTTTTCATTCATGATTTCGCGAAAGTGAGAGAGTAAAAGAGAGAGAGAGAGAGAAAGAGAGAGAAAGAAAGAGAGAGAGAGAGAGAGAGATGCCGATAGTGGCGACGTGACGACGCCGACGTCGACTGACGCCGACTGACGACGCCATGACCTCTGACGCCTATCTATACGTGCCCTTCAAGATGCTTTTCATCCCTTAGTGTGAATATATTTTTTACTTAATTAATTCATTTTTTTTTCAATAATTATTTATTATTTATCATTTTGTGATTAATAAATTATATTTTTTGAAAAAATATGGTCGATAGAAAAATTAAAATGGCTGAGATTTGGAATATATATTTAATTTCATTTATTTTTTGAATAAATATTCAATCACGTAGAAAATAATTTTATAATATTATATATAAATTAAAATTATTTTAATAATATTGTTTATTAATTATGTGCGAAAGTAGATTAACATATTCGAACAAAATTTATTTGTAATATTTGTCATATAGTTGCTGAATTGACTTACGAAAAATCACGTGACGTGAAATTTGAAACGATTGGTCGGTCATCGTTACTTAGCAAAATGGCGTCGATTTAATAAGAATTTGAAATCTTAGCGAATTCACGATCGGTTATCACGTAATATTATCATCTAGAGCATGGATCAAAGCTATATAAAAGGAAGATGAAGTTTCATTTTATACGTTTAAAAGTCATAAGAGGAGAATGAGAATACACGTGATGTGAGATATTAAATCCGGTTTTTAGCGTGCACGCGACGCTCGTTAAGGAAACCTATTATTTTCTTCTACGAATGTATTTGTTGCATTTAGAAATTATAATAGAAAAGTAAGCTGTGTATGTATGATATTCTAGTTTTTTTTTTTGCAGAGAAAAATAAATAAATCTATTTGAAATATTTGTTCTTCATCTTTTTATTTGTTTTTTTGTTTGTTATTGTTGTTGAAAGAAGAATAAACCGAAAAAAAAGATTTAAAATGCAAACATTTATTTCTAAGAAATTCTAATTCCAAACGTGTTCTCTCCATTCGTGTGTGGTGTAGTAGCAGCGTCAGATATAACTTAATATGCATATACATATTTGATTCACTTACTCGAGTAGTATGCTTGATCAGAGCTACGATAATTATACGACTAGCTTTTAATTTGATGTCGTTCTCTTTGAACAGAAGCGCCATCGTATCTACACGGTGTGCTGCGAATATTTTCTATGCGATTAGTTTTTTAAATGAAATTCATTCAACTCTATACGAATGTGTAACGCACACACACACACACACATAAATTAATATTATTTTGAATCTATTCTACTATATTAGGTAGACCAAAAGGCTTTCAATTAATTTTTAATTTAACTTTGTTGCAGTGTGTAAAAAAAGTTCCTAGGATTGTAATCATAAAATTTGAAAAAAAAGTTAGCCTAAAAATTTTGTTTAGCAACGTAAAAAAGTAATCGATGGTGAAAATAACTCGTGAATTTTATGTTGTAATTCACTTTGTTCACCGGATTGACGATCACGTGTTTACCGAGAACACTTCTCGCCCCCACACAAATAGAGCATGTTCTTGGAGTAAAATTTTACGCTATTTCTATAAATACGAGTGATTAACAAAAGTCAAACTCGCCAGTTTCCTTATCTTCATTCAGTTGAAGTTGAAAGGACGCGTGCCAACAAATTTTCAAAGAAATCTAATCCTGATCTTGCACTAAATGGTGGGTGGGTTAATGCCAAAACTTCTCATGTGATTTTAAAAGTCAATTATTCTTTTGGTAAAAAACTTTACAGGCTTATAGTTAGTTTTACAATTTGAACAAAAAATAATTAACGTAAAAAAAAAACTAAACAAGAATTTATATTTCAAACAACTCTAGGGATTTTTTCCCACCCTGTATTGAAAATGTGTCCTATAATTGTTGAATTTCAACCTGTTATATCTTTCTCTTCATTATTATTATATTATTATTATTTTGTTTTTATTTTAATAATTTATGTAGTTAGAGTCAAAAATAAATGACACCAAATTCGTTGGCAAGTGTCCAATGTTTTTTTTTTCCTTTTTTTTCTTTTTCTTTTTCTTTTCTTTTTCTTTTTCTTTTCTTTCTTTATTTCTTTTTCTTCACGCGTCAACAAGGCTACTGGCATCGGGTCGCCATTGTGTTCAACTTCAAAGAAAGAAACTCTTACAAAAAGGGAGTCATTTTCCTCGAGTATAGCCACCCCTTTTTTAACACGATGACTACCGTAGTTGAGGTCACCACCCCAACCCAAACCTTCACCGCTACCACCACCGCTACCACCATCAACGGTTACTGCTATTCAATTTTATATTTGACTTTATTTCAAGCATTTAGAATATTCGGTTTGCTCATATTTCCGTCATATTGATAAAACAAAACAACATATTTATTTTTTTTTTGCTTTATTACTGTATTATTCTTACTTAAAAGTAATAATAATTAATTTAAAATCGATTAGGAAAAATATGATATTCTTTTTTAATCGATAATACATCTACCCAAGATTTTGTATAGTTATTTTTTAAAGTACATTTATAAATAAATATAAATGGGATTATAAAATGATCGTTGATAAAATAATTCGTTCTTTTAATTCAATAAAAAAAAAAAAAAAAATAAACAGTATATATAACAGTATATGTGCTTGTGAGTGTATGTTCAGGCCCATTAGCGACGTTTTATGGTGCGTATGAATAGAAGTCATAAATTCATCTATTAATTAAGATCAATCGGTTGCAAGTGTACTTGCTTGATAAGATAGAAAAAAAAGAAAATAAATTAAATAAATTATTTCACACGCACAAACAAGGCCCTATTCATGAGTGTTAGCACACTCATGATGACAAAAAGTTCCACGTTATTTATTCTGTTGTATTTTGCATAAGGCTTTGCAAAATGTCGAAATGGGCCTAAGAACAATTTTTAATTGTATTATTATATTTGTAGTAAAGTAATGTTTTGCGTGTACAAATATAGGTACTGGTGAATCGGGCAAATCCACGTTCATCAAACAGATGAGAATTATTCACGGTTCCGGTTATTCGGACGAAGATAAGAGAGGATTTATCAAGCTTGTTTACCAAAACATATTCATGGCGATGCAGTCGATGATCCGGGCGATGGAACTACTCAAGATCGAATATGGCGACTCATCAAATATAGTTAGTATATCTGACAATAGATTAACTTAATTTCAACGTTTATTTTATTCCACAATTAAATTTATAATATTTCTTTCTTTATATTATATATTTATTATTATATATAATTATAATATATATATACTATTATATATAATTATAATATATATATATACTATTATATATAATATTATTATAATAACAGTTTGTCACATTAATTTTTTAGCACAGTGGGTGAGCCAAATCCGTAGATAAGCGTTTTTAAATCAATTACTCTATTTCAAAAATGTTTAAGATAATTCTTTCACATTCTACAAATTCCTCAGACTTTAGTTTTACTATATAAACAAATGTATATAGTTTCCAAATTATTCTTGAAAGAAAAGAGGGTATAAATGATTTCTTAAAATTATTATAATCAACTTTTGAGTCATCTTTCTATACTTACAGATATTTTATAAATCGAATTGTTAAATGTCATATGTATGTTATTATTTTCGTCTATTTTCATCTAACATTATTTTCTTTTATCCAGGAAAAAGCGGAACTCGTGAGAGCAGTCGACTTTGAAACGGTCACGACATTCGAAAGTCCATACGTCGAAGCGATCAAGGACTTATGGAATGACAGCGGAATTCAAGAGTGTTATGATCGCAGACGAGAGTATCAACTAACAGACTCTGCTAAGTAGTGGGTATCTTTGTTTTTTTTTTTATATATATATATATAATTATATATGAAAAAAGAAAACAATAGTAGCAAGAAAAAAAAAATCATCGTCCTCGACTATTCTTCCACCTTATTTCCTATTTTATTTTTTTCCTTTTCTTTCACTTTCTCTCTTTCTCTCTCTCTCTTTCTTTTTAATCTCTTTTTTTCTTTTTCTTCTTTTCTCCCTCTCCTTTTTCTCTTTCTATTTCTTTTTCTCTTTTATTCTCACTTTAGTCTATTTGAATCAAATTTGAATCTTGGACGGAAATCGTGAATATTAATCAAAAAAAAAAAAAAAGAAAGGAACGATTATGACAATTTAATTAAAATAAAATAAAAAGAGGGAGAAGAAAATAAGGAAGGGAATGAAAGAGAAAATATCGTGATTACTTTTATAAAATAATAAGATGAAGATTAAAAAAAAAAAAACTATGAAGTAAAATGATGTCTCACTCGGTCGGTAACTATTACCACTCGAACACACATTTCTTCGATCGTAATAATTCATTACATTTAAACGATCTTCTAGATCACTTTTATATATCCTTTTATTTTATTGTTATAATCTAAAATTTAATAATAATAATAACAATATCAATTATTATTATTTCCAAACGATAATAATTACCGACTAATCCTTTTCTATTGTATACGTGATAGCATTACACGTACACATTCATACTCTTACGTGCTTGTCGTGGACACACACGCCATTAACTTGTGGCGGCAGAAATGAGAATTAATCCTGATCATTATCCTTTCTCTCTCTCTCTCTCTCTCTCTCTCTCTGTCTTTCTTTCTTTCTTTCCCTCTCTGTCTGTTTGTTTCTCTCTTTTACTCTCCCACTCGTGCGATTTAAGCGGACGTTTTGCAGGTTAATTATCAGAAGTGTATCTCTTTTGTCGACAAAACAAGAAAGAAAGATAAGAAAAATAAAGAAATCATTTCCTTGTTAATTTTCATCTTTATTTTTCTCATAGGCATTTATTAAGAAATATATGTCTCGTTATAAAAAATGTATATTATACTCCATATATACATACATAAAAAAAGGTCCTTAAAATTTGTGCAATTTCTCTCTCTCTCTCTTTTTTCTTCCTCTTTCTCATACACACACACACACACATACATACATACATAGGACATACTATCTCTATCTCTGTCTATCTGTTTCGATCGATCGTCCCGTCGCACAGCACCAATAATAATCTCATCTATAAATCTATCTATCTATCTATCTATCTTTTTTTCTCTAAAATCTTATTTTTCATTTTTTCTTCTTCGACACTCTAATTTTATTTTTTTGTAATTTCTTTTATTTTTCTTTTTTTTTTTTTCTTTCGGTTACAATTTATTTGTTTTCTTTCATTCCTATTGGACGACCGCTCCTCTCCACACGCATTAGGTATTGAGAACACGATGTTTCAGTTACCTAATGGAGATAGATCGAGTTGCGGCGCCATCATATCTCCCTACCGAACAAGACATTCTTCGTGTGAGAGTACCTACTACCGGTATAATTGAGTATCCTTTTGACTTGGAAGAGATCCGATTTAGGTATGTCTCTCGTTGTGCGACGAAAGGATGAAGCTGCCTGTGTGCCTGCCAACTACTACTTGCTGTCTTTTATTATTATTCTCTCTATTTCTCTCGCTCACACCAATCCCACCATCTCTCTCTCTCTCTCTCTCTCTTTTCCTCTATCTATCTATCTTTCTGCGTTTGCATTTATTTATCTGTCTCCCTTTCTCTTTCTATCTTATTTCTATTCTTTTCTCTTTCTGTTTTTCCCCCACTACTTCTCTCTTTCTTTCTTTCTATTTCCTCCCCACTACATCTCTCTTTCTTTCTATTCTCCTCCCCACTACTTCTCTCTTTCTTTCTATTCTCCTCCCCACTACTTCTCTCTTTCTTTCTTTCTTTCTCTTTCTCTTCTCCTTTTCCTTTTGCATCTTTTTATCTGTCTATCTATCTTTCCATCTTTTTATCTTATTCCTATTCCTTTCTCTTTCTACTATCTCTTACTATTTCTCTCTTACTCTCTCTCTATTTGCATTGTGTCTGCATCCATTTTTGCAACTTTACTAATCGTGCAACTTCATACACAAACACCATGGGACTCGTAATTCGTTGAATAGTTCTGTCTGTTGTCTGTCTGTCTGTCTGTCTCTTTTCATTCTTTTTTTTTCCTCTTGGTTTATTACTCTCTCTTCTTCCCTTTTTCCTTCTACTTTTTTACTTTTCCTTTCCCCATTTATTGAAACCAACAAATTTTCCTCTTATCGTTTCAGTCCACTTCTGAGGGGTCAGTTTTTTTTTCATTTTTTTTTTTTATAATTTGTATCTCTTTTTATTTATTTATTTTTACTTTCTTCAGGGATTCTCCAATCGAGTTTGAGATTTATTCTCTCTCTCTCTCTTTTGTTGTTGTTGTCTTCTTCTTCTTTTACTCTTTTTACAGGACACATTTGAGAAAGGATTTAAACAACAACAAAAACAAAATTATATTATTGGATTGTTGTTATTTGTTGAGATTTATATATAATTTTTTTCCCCTCTCTTTTTATTACTATCTTTTATCATTTTTATTTTTATTGTTAATATTTATATATATATATATACATATATATGTATATATTTATACATCATTTAAGTATATACCCTAATAGTACAAAATATTGAAAAATATTAAATATACATGTATTCAATTTTTTTTAATATTTTGTGCTACTAGGGTATGTATTTATATATATGTATATTTGCATGGCATGCACTGTGTCAGACTGTTGCTTCGTTTGTTTTTACAGTTATCTTAGTGACCTAGAACGTATTGAAAAGCCTGATTTTCTTCCTACCGAGCAAGATATTCTTCGGGCTCGAGCTCCCACTACCGGCATTATAGAATATCCATTTGATCTGGACTCCATCATATTTAGGTACTAACGCAAATATATATTTACTTTTTTTATTTTATTTTATCATATATATATATATATATAATTTTTGTTCTTTTTGTTTTATTTTGTATATTATTTTTCTTTTATTTTTTATTTTTATTTTTATTTTTATATGATCACAGTGACTATTTTGCAATATTTTTTTTAATCATCAATTTATCAATTTGAACATTTACAGTTTACATATAAATTTATTTTTTATCTTATACTACACATTTTTGTTGTCTTTTTTGTTTATTTTTTTTTTTTTTAATTTTGTATTTACACATATTTCGTACTCTCTTTTTTTGTTTTGTTTTTGTTAGAGGATATACACATTACACACGTTTTATCTTTGTTTTTATTTTTTACCGCGCATTGTTTACATTCACACATTTATTTCTTTTATGGGCCAGTGATATTTATATTTCTTTTTTTTCATTTTTATATTTGAAGAATATTTTCTTTTTTTTTTTTTCTAATAATTTAAATAATTCATTTTAGTTTTTGTCTTTTTTTTTTCTTTTCAAATTACTTTCCTTTCTTTTTCATCAATATTTTACAGCGAATGGAATAATAATAAATCCACAAAAGTAGGAGTTCCAATAAAATTAATAATACAGAAATAAAAAAAAAATGATAAAAAAACAAACAATATGTATATAGTAAGCGCTATAATATATACTCGCTCGCAATATGGCTGTTTTGTGTTGTGTGTTCGGTGTTTTTTCCTATTTTTTTTTTTTCAAAATATACAGCAAGATCGTTGCTGCTTCGTTATGAATGTATTTACACAAATCAGCACGATTCACATAATTACGATTTCCTTTTTCTTTTTCTTTTTTTTTTATGCATTAATCTAATTTCTTGTATATAAGAAAAAAAAGAAAGGAATAGGATCAAAAAATCGTTCTCTCTCTCTCTCTCTCTCTCTCTTGCACATTGCATAAATGTTATTTTATATGCATGAGTTAATTAAAAGAAATAAATAATTAATAATAAAAAAAAAAAACAACAAGTCCATGTTTTTCTTTTAACACTTTAAAACAAAAAAATAAAACATCACTGGCATGCTTATGCTTATCTATTCTAATTTATACTAATTTCTTTACATAATGTATTTTTTTCTGTATATTAATAAAAACGTGTCGATGTTTTAAATATTTTAATTATGGATGAATGAAAATTGTATACATGTACGTGATATAATTTTTTATTTAGAGTCGGTTCATACGAATTCTTTTTTTTTTTTTTTTGTTTTTTTTTTTAATATTTTTTTTTATACATAAAAAAAATGCAATATAGTTGTTCCAAATATCGAAGAAAAAATTTTAATCCATTTAATATATTTTGCAGGATGGTAGATGTAGGCGGACAGAGATCGGAAAGAAGAAAATGGATTCATTGTTTTGAGAACGTCACTTCCATTATATTTTTAGTAGCTTTAAGTGAATACGATCAAATTTTATTCGAATCGGAAAACGAGGTAAAAAAGGAACACCCAATAAGTCAACTTTTTCTTTTTGTTTTTTTTTTTCTTTTTTTATAAGAACATTTTTATACAGACTAACATAATGTAATTATATTTTGTAATTATAATTAATTTAATTGAACGTATATTAATTATTGTATTTTTCTTCTTTTTTTTTTTTTAGAATCGAATGGAAGAAAGTAAAGCGCTTTTCAAAACGATTATAACATATCCCTGGTTTCAACATTCTTCCGTTATTTTGTTCCTAAATAAAAAAGATCTACTCGAGGAGAAAATAATGTATTCTCATCTGGTGGATTATTTTCCTGAATACGATGGTAAGTTACATTTCATTTATTTATTTAATATATCTATCAATCTATCTTTCTTTTCATTTCCTACAATTATTAGTTCAATTATCGTTGCAAAAAACTACACATCATATCAAAGATACAAAAATCTTTGATACGTCGATTATATTAGTAACCACGTCCTATATATTATTTATTTATTTTCATTTGGCAAGAAAAATGTTCAACGAGATTAGTCTACGTTTAAAAAGAATTTCTAGGAATAGTAAACGATGTATAGATGAGTGGACATTTGTCTAAAATAAGAACAATCAATTTTGTTCAATGATATATTCACTGAAATACGTATTACTAGGTACATAGTGCACAACAAATCATTTTATTAGACAATCAATAAGTTTTATGGTATAGGCCCAAAGCAACAAGATGTACCGGCCAGGGAATTCATCTTAAAGGTCTATCTCAATTCGAATCCTGATCCTGACCGCATGTGCTACTCTCACTTCACGTGTGCGACAGGTCTGTTTAAGTGCAACTTGTCACCTGGCCAAACAATTGTTTTGTAGCAAGTTTCTCGTAGAGCAATTTTTTCAATTGACCCAGTAATCGTAAAACGTGCAGTTATCATTAAAGCTTTCCCCCTTATTTGGTACAAAAGAATCTATATATACGTATATAAATATAAGATGCACATATCTATCTTCTGTATTAATAATATGTATCAAAATCTTTCACTCTATCTCTCTCTCTCTCTCTCTCTCTCTCTCTCCTCTGTGTCTTGATTTTTTCTTTTAATAACTAATATCTCTCTCTCATCCGTGATTTATTGTATTACGTAGAATTAATATACAGAATATCAAATGATTCCAATGATACATGTATTATTGAACCGGTATAAACAAAATTTATTATTGATCCGAACCATTTGTCCACAGTGAACGAAGAATTTTTCATTAGTACGATACAAACCTAAACAAGTACATATATATTTTTATTTTGGAAAATATCTATACATATATATATATATATTTTTTTAAAATTTTATTTATTATTTATAATATACAGGATGTTCTGTAAATGGTGGTACAAACAAGTATGGGTAATTCTATGTGAAAAATTAAGTCGACAATGTAGAATTAAATTTGAAAAATAAGTTTCAAACAAAAGTTTATACAAACCAATTTTATTTTACATTGTCAACTTATTTTTTCATATAGAATCATTTCCTGTTTTCTTGTATTTTCAGTTACAGAATCCCTTGTATATATATATATATATATAAGTATTTATCATCTTTATGTAAGATATTTAGCTTATTACTGGTGCTTTCGAAAGGCTTCTTTGACGTATGCTGCAACTAATTAGATAAGCTGCCCTTGGAACACACATTTATATTGGATTTAAGCAAACTTAATTATTTGATTTAAATTCCTCCTCTATATTCCGTAATACTATCGTATTTAATTACTCTAGAATATTCACCAACACGTTTATACACCACCATCGTCATTGAGAACTTCTCTACGCATTTTACAGGATTCTTTTGTCTATTTTATACACACATATAACATTTGATAGCTCATTTTTTTTTTTTTTTTTAAGAGAAATATTATTTATACGACTTCATTATTATATTTACAGCAAAAAGGTCTGTGGTATACAGACATATCAAATAATTTATCATTTATTTCAATTTGTTCTTTTTTTTCACACAAATTTTATTATTCGCACTGGATAAAATTGTATTTAGGATACGATCTTGTGAAATTTAGTAAGAAAATAAAATTGAATTCACGAGTAATAATTATATTACTAATATTATTAATTCTACATATCTATAATGTTATCACTAACGAATTGAATCACCTTAATTAATTAACCATAAATCTTTTTGCTTTTCCAACCAATGTAGAAGTAATATCTCAGGCTATTTGCTTGCTGTAAATTTCACAGGCCCACAAAGAGATGCCATAGCTGCTAGAGAATTTATTCTAAGGATGTTTGTCGATCTAAATCCAGATAGTGAGAAGATTATTTATTCTCACTTCACATGTGCCACAGGTAGGAAACATTCAAAGTTGTTCAAACTAAATCTCTTTTTATATATATATACAGAGGATGTGTCCAAAGTTTTTTTTTTTTCGAAAAAACTTAAGACACTCTGTATATACAATTGTATATCTTTTATACGTATGCCTCGTAATATTGCTTTTGGGAATGTTATGTGCTGTAGCGTGTATCTTGCCTGCATCCTTCTATCTCAGGTGTGTGTATAATTCTTTAATTATTAAGTTTTTATATTAACAAATGAATTTCTTTGCTTTTTTTTTTTTTTGAGAAAACTAATCTAGGAAATAATGTGATCAATTATAATTGCATGCTGCTTGTGATGATTGGGATCTCATTTATCAGATACGGAAAATATCAAGCTTGTGTTCTGTGCCGTAAAGGATACGATTATGCAGACTGCTCTTAAGGAATTTAATCTTGCCTAATTACGACCATATATGGACGAATTTTTTCAATTACGTTTTATTATATATATATATATACACATACGTACACATGATGTGTTATAGGTGATTTTTTGTCTACACACGTTAAAATTGCTTCTACTACTCAAAACATGCGTACACATTTTTTACATTATGTTTATCTTATTATCATGCGAACACATTAATATATTATAGATCCAAATAATAGATTGAACTTATGTATTAATTTTTTTTAAATGCTATAAGAATGCCAATTTCCATATTCCTTTTTCAATAAATATATAAAATTTGTTCTTTTAATGTTAAATACTCTATTTCTGGTTAAGGGTTATTTATTGCATGTATACAAACACAATAATATTTCTCATTATTTGTAACATTTCCAAATACTTTTCTATTATTTGATTCTAATTTCGTTTGAAAATAAATTAACCAACAAATTTGACAATTTATGCATGCGAGCAAAAAAAAACGCATTTTCTAAACATACGATATATATTATTATTATTATGTGATACATGGGCTTTTATTATAACGAAGAAATGTTCCGAAGTTGCATGTGCTCTAACTACATTTTCTTTCTTTGGTAAGTGTTCGTTCATTCTTTAACGCTTAAAAGAATCTATATGTCAACTTTTTATTTTTATTGTGAATAAAATACTTTGAAAAAAATAACAAAATCATTATTTAATATTAATATTTTAATAATAACGTTGTAATTATAATATTGTTTTGTTTTGTTTTTTTCAACAGATACGGAGAACATTAGATTTGTATTTGCAGCGGTGAAGGATACTATCTTGCAATCTAATCTAAAGGAATATAATCTGGTCTAGATGAATGGATTTGGATATTGGTGTGAAGTCAACTATTACTTTACCATCTTAACCAAAGTATTGCAGTGTAGACATTGTTTAAATGATACAAAGAGGAGGATAAATCATACGGAAGATAGATAGAAAGATAAAAAAGAAAGAAAGAAAGAAAGAGAGAAGGAATAAACAATAATTATATTGTGGTGCCATCGATGAAGCATCATCATTCTAGTTCCATCTCATCAAGGAGAAGTACCAACTTTAGCTAATAAAACTATGTAATAATGGATGGAACTATCTGCGAGACAAACAAAGACGGACCTAAATCTGAGCGTTATACGTTCTTTCCTAAAACCTTTTCACTGTCAATAACCAACAAACTGATTTAGTTTCGTACTCCATTTGTTGAATTTGTTACCTTTTTATAGCTTAGTTTAGTCGATCATGCTGCGCTTACTGCGTTGTCATCGTCTGATTTTTATAATAACGAAGAGATACACAAATGAACGAAGGGGAAGATTAAGAAAAATTGTATCGTTTAAAGAGGATCAAAAAAAAAAAAATAAAACGCAGCCATGCCCGCGTTAATTCTGTCCAAGTGTTAATCCTAAAATACTAAGTTGGGATTATTTCCAAGGAAAGGAGTAACGAAGAAAGGATGAACGAAGGTAAGGCAAAGGTGGAGGAGACAAAGGACAAAGATATAGAAAAGGAAATTGAGAAGAATGGATGAACCGAAAACAAGGATTTGTTTTTGTTTTTTAAATATCGCGATTAGAACACACAAGTGAGAAAGAAAAGAAAAGAAAGAAGATCAAGAGATAGAACGCGAGATGATTCCTAGTGCCATTTTACTAGTGCGGTGTGTTTTTATTGCAGAGTCCTTCGTTAGATGCAAAAAGCCAAAGTGTTGTTTTTTTTCTTTTTTAAAAACGAAAATAAAACAAAACAAAAACAAAAAAGTATATCTGTGCTGGGGAAACGACTTAAGAGTTTTTTTTTCTGCATGTGATTCGAATTCACTCACAATTTTGATCGATAAATATTGTTACATATAATATATTAATATAAAACAACAACAAAAAAATTACAAAAGATAAAAAAGAGATAAATGAAACATAGAGAAATAGGTGGTCGGTGGTGGAAGGAGGGAGAGACCATGGATGGGTAGAAACAAGCAAGCGAACGAAGAAAGAAGAAAGAAAGAAATAAAGGAAAATGGATGCAAAAAGAAGAAAAATGGAATCTGGAGAAACGTATGGATCAAATGAAAGAAGAAGATAAAAAAAAAAAAAAGAACAATAGGTACACGATGAGACTAACAAAAATGAATGAAGAAAAAGTAAAGTAAAGGGAAGTTTAAGAAGAAACGAGTGAACTACTTTCCACCTTCCCCTCCCTTTCGTATTAAGGAACACATACACATACACACACAGAGAGAAAGAGAGAGAGAGCGAGAAAGAGTGTGAGAGAGTGAGAGAGTGAGAGACGGAGGAAAGAAGAATGAAAAGAAAAAGAAGTAAATTGATAAAAGAATCTTTAGGAAAGAATTTTTTGTTTTGATGTGACTAGGTAATTTAAGAGGCGAGAGTTGGCGGTAGAAATGATTCTGCTGTCTCTCATCTCCGCTATATACATATAATATATAAATAATATATATATATATATATATAAATATATATGTTTATATAAATATATCTATATATACGGCTAAAATATATATACATGTATTTATATAAATGAAACAAAATAAACAAATTAAATAGAGGCTGTGCACATTGGTGGTGCGAGGGCTGAGAAATAAAAAAAAATAAATAAATAAAGATAACGAAATAAAAGACATTGCGTTTTGACATGGATAACGACCAACATGATTTTTCAATCGTGTCATTTAATAGTCATCGAAGTATCGGCTCGTAGTCATTAATGTATGCGACCATGCAAAGATGAACTTCATACAAAATATATATATATACACATATACATAAATCAATAAGTAAATTAATAAATGAAATTAAAGAAGCACAACACATACACAAACATACACGCATGCACACAAATACATGCACATACATATATACGCGTGAGATGAAAAAGAATCATGTATTATCCTGTCTATTAAAAAATCGGCTCGGCCCTAGCCCTTAAATGAAGGCACAGCACAAATTGATCGCGTGGCAAGGGACACGTATCCTTAAAGATTTGTGTCCCTGGCATCGCGCTTTGTATCCATATTATAAAAGTGTACGTATGTATTATTAATTGCTCACTGCCTGCGTTTGCTCATAAATGGCAAGCGCGCTGCCCGACACTTTGCTTGTATTCTCTAAAAGCTCTCGATTTGACGGCGGCACTATTTTCTTCTTCTTCTTCTTCTTCTTCTTCTTCATCTTCTTCTTCTTCTTCATCTTCGTCTTCTTCTTCCCTTGATCTTCTGTTTTCGTTTCTTACCTTTATGACGGCAGCACCAAGTTACCGTCCCTTATTAGAGATTTGAAAGGAAGAGGGAGAAAGAGAGAGAGAAAGAGAGAGAGAAAAAGAGAAAGAGATACAGAGAAAGAGGAACGAAACCAAAAAATGAAAGAAAAATAACAAGTGAGAATGAAAATGAGAGTTACAGAAAGAAACAGATAACAAATAAATTGATAAATTTATGCTAACGATAAGAGTGGTGAAATCTAAACAGTACTTGCATCGATAAAATAAAAATCTTTAAGGTCTTGATTGAACGGTGAAAATGAAAGAATAAAAGAGAGAGAGAGGGAGAGATTTGTGTAAATGTGAGAGAGAAAGAGAGAATGCGGTGTTTCGGAGATCATTTAACACACTATACACCAAACTTCGGCACTGTGCTGATGAAGTCTGAATAAAAGAGAGAATAAGAGAGAGAGAGAGAGAGAGAGAGAGAGAGAGAGAGAGAGAGAGAAAGAAAGAATGAATGAATGAAAGAAAGAAAGAAAGAAAGAAAGAAAGAAAGAAAGAAAGAAAAAAAGAAAAAAAAGGAAGGAAGAGAGAGAGAGAGAGAGAGAGAGAGAGATACACGTAACACAACATCATACACTCGCATACGTACATGGGCAGCATACGTCATATTTACTCTGGTTACAATAAACTGAGTTTATATGAGAGATAAATATATAAATATAATAAATAAAACTATAATATTAAGAAATAACAAAAAATAATATAAAATAATAATAATAATAATAATAATTAATAATTAATAAAATAATAATAATAACAATAATAATTAAAATAATAATTACTATTATAATAATAAAAAATAATAATAATAATATTAATAATAATAAATAATAATAATAATAATAAATAATAATAATAATAATAATAATAATAATAATAATAATAATAATACTGCTTTGTTTTCAGTGAGAGTGCATGATTTAAATTGATTGTGTAAGGAACAAGATGATATATAAATGTGTATTTAATCGAAAATTGAAAACAACAAAACTCACATATTGTAGTTTTGAGAAATTTCGATTTGAATGGATTGTGAAAGGCCATTAGAAGAAATCGGAACGAAAAGAAACGGGGTAGGCTTGATAAACGAAATAAAATGAAGGATGCGAAGAAAGAGAAAGAGCTATGTATAAGGGCGTATATCCATAATATGTATGTATGCATTAGAAAGAGAGAGAAAGAGTGTGAGAGAGAGAGAGAGACAACTTCTTAAGTATGAATGAATGAAATCTAATATACGAGAGAAACACGTATGTTGTAGCGTATGCATGTGTACGTTTGCTCAATTTTAAAATTGGAAAATAATACTATTTGATTGGGACTAACTGGGACTAAACTGGGTCTTCTTGTCAACCCAATTTTTGTGAAGTAAAATAAAAAAAAAAAGATAAATAAATAAATAAATAACAAAAAAAAAATAAATAACAAGAATGATGAATGAATATGAAAAATGAAAAAGATACAATGTAAGAGAGAGAGAGAGAGAGAGAGAGAATGAGAGCGAGAGAGAGAGAGAAACACGTAAATTTCTGCGGTTATATGTTCATTTGTAAATCATTTTTTGTCAAACAACAACAACAACAAAACAACAAGGAAAAAAAAAAGAAAAAAGAAGTATACATTTTTTCTGAAAAGCATAAAAAATACGTTTGGGTATTCTTTCTGTGTGTATAAAATGTAAACACCTAACAACCGTTCCCGAAGAGGAAAAAATCAATGTTTCTAACTTATTTATAATAAATAATATACATTAATGAGAAAGATAAAAATAAACGCAGTTTGTGACAGTAGCACCGATGCATGTGTGTGTGACGACAGCATTCATATTTCAAAACTACATTATTACTCTTTTTATATCCTCCTTTTCTTACATACACACATCATACGTACATAAATACAAACATACATATGTACTTAATAAGTATATACATTTATTGTGAGGACGATAAGGTAGGTTTTTCATTTTACCGCCAATTATTTTTACGATCTATCAACGATTCGAACGATTTATTTCTTTTTTCTTCCTTAATAATTGAAATAAAAATTAAATACATTTAATTGTTATTATTTATATTATAATTATTTATCTTTTTTTTAAATAACAATAATAGATTTTCTTTTTTTAAATTTATCCCCAAAAAAGTCTCAACGAAATTAATTTTGTTTTCTCCACTTATCGATAATTCGAATTTTAAATTACATTTGTTGTGTGTTTGTGTATGTGTCATTAAAACACATATTTTTATTATTATTATTATTATTATTATTATTATTATTATTATTATTATTATTATTGTGTAATCCTCATTTTATATATATATATATATATGTTGTAAATAATATTAATTTGTAAATTAACAGTTGATAATTGTTTGAAAGATCGATAAATTGTTTCATTACGCACATTCGTTTTTATATTTTAAATTATTATTATTATTATTATTATTATTATTATTATTATTATTATTATTATTATTATTATTATTATTATTATTATTATTATTATTATATAGGTTAATTTACGAATCTTCTTATTAATGTTAATATATCCTAACAGGAAGATTTTATCGAGACCATCCTAGACTTATTTTTCCTTTCCCTTGATCATACGTGGCTTTTCATCCATATATCGATTGTTGTGTGATAGGGGTCAGTAGTGGAAAGCCCTGTTCAAGTCGGCAGAGTCCGACACATCGTAGTTTCTTTTACTTCAACAGTCGTAATCTGGCATTACTTATAATAGAAGATAGAAGAGAAAAAAAAAAAAAGAAGAAAAAGAAGATACGTAGGGGATACTGATATTTAGATTAGAACTCGTTGTTCTACTTTAGAACATGTATATTTTTTAATAGGGTAAGTAGCCATTTTGGTTCTTTTATTATTATTCTCAATAATTTTAAACTTTATGTTAAATTATGAAAATTAAAACATTTCTGTTTTCTCTTATTTTCTTTTTTATTTTTTATTTTCAATTCTTTATAATAAAAATTTTGTATAAGTGTGTTTCAATTTTGGTTCGTTATTTTGTATCGTGTCGATCAAGATCAAACAATTCATACATTTTTTTTATTTAATTTTTTATTCATTTATCCGACTCTATATAATTATAATTACTGAATAATATACATGTATACACATATTTTAAGATTTTACAAAAAAAAAAAAAAACAACAAAAAATGCACTCAATTAAAATTAACATTATAATTTTAACTTTATTTACATAATTTCTCCGAGTACACGCGACATACATACGTTGTACGAGAAGATGTATGTTAACATCGATTTGTGTTTTACACGGTATGGTGAGTAAGAACGTTGCTTTGACGAACTTTTTATGTTTCTTTATTTGTGTTACACACACTTTATGTCACACGACTAAAATCGATTCGATGGGAATTACAACGATGTTAATTATTTCTTAAATTATTCTTTTATTTTATATAAACACCCTACATGTCTATTATGTAATCCTTCCCCTATCTTTAAATAAATAGAAGTATTTGGTTGTTCAATGAGAAAAAATTAAATACATATACTACGTGCACGTACACACACGTACAGTTGTATATAACTATTCCTTAGTAAAGTAGCATGATGCATTATGAAAGAGTATTCAGTGTACATCGCATAAACTATAATCGATATGTTCTCAACGTTCACAATAATGTCAACGATAAACAGATATCGTATAATCGATTAGTTATATACATTCATTAATTTTATATATACTATATACTCTATGTATAGTCTTTACTCATAATGACCTTATTAAGAAAAAAAAAAACAACATTATTTCACAATTCGATAGTACTGTCACGAAATTAGCTAAAAGAGTATTTTAAAACAAAAATATTCTAAAAAATAATTTACAGATTTTATTTTTCGTTATCATCGTCATCCATGAAGCATCAACAAATCACGGTGGACCTTTCGAATATGGTTTTCACCGCTTTTTCCTACTTGGCATTAGCTGGAGCAGTCTGGATTTTTTTGAGACTTCTTCAAGCCTGCTTTTGGCTTCCAAGACATTTGAAAAAACAAAACGACGTTCAACAAATGTTACAGGATAAGGTATATATTTGTTTTAAGTATTTAAATATTTAATTTTTTAAAAAATGGCGCTTGTCGGGAGAGTTTGAACTTCAGTGCCATCTAACAGGGGGATAATTGTTACTTTGAGGTAGAGTCGGTAACGTCGGTACATAAGAATTTTGTCTTATCCATCAACCATAAAGTGCATCGATGCAATTTTTACTGCAATTATTTACCTGTTCCAATATTAACAAAAGATACAATTTCTTTGTCAAAACTGAGTGGTTCATTAAATTAAATTTTATTGTTAAAGTATTTATGATCAAATTTTTTCTTGTTGTTTTTTACAAAATGGAGGATAATACAAATTTGTATTTTTATTTTATTTCAAGGTTGATGATTATGAGAGATATATACTCGAGTGTGAAGAGAAGGAGAAGTCAATGTTATTGGAAGGAGAAAGTACGGATGAACAAAACGCCGAAATTACGAAGAAATGGAAAGAAAGAAGAGAATGTTTCGAAATGATGAAGCGAGAATTGAAAAAGGTGCGTGACGGCGGTGAGATTAATGATTGGGATTATCTTTTGGAAGAGGAACAGAAGCTGGAGGAAGAGGATGAAGAGGAGGTAGTTAAAAAAAAAGAAAAAGAAAGTGAGAATGAAGAAGACGTGAAGATAACTGAGATTCCTGAAGAAAAGTTGTTATCTAAAAGAGAAAAGAAACATTTTGACAATAAAAAATCTTCGGACAAATTCGATGGATCACCGAAAAAATCCGAAAATGTGGATCTATTATCGATTGATAAAGAAGAACAGGAAGAAAAGGACGATGAGGAAACCAAAAAAGACAAATAAATAATATTCCCATTTCGTTTTATTTATTGAACTTGAAATTCATTTTCTTTTTTTTTTTTTGTTACTTTAAATTTTTCTTTTTGTATTTTGAAGTAAAAGAAAAAACGAAGAAAAGTAAATACGTCTTCGATGACGTAAAATATTGTTATCGTTATTTATAAGATATATTTCGTACGAAATATTTTAAAAAAGAAGTGACAGTATTTGAAGTATCATCATCGAAGTAATTCTTAGTTCGTCCTAAACATACTCTCTTTTATTTCTTTCTGTCATGGTGACCCGTGTGTCGACTTATCAAGACATTATATTTTTTATATACGTCACTTTATAATTAAAAATAAAAATGTAGTAGTATAGATATATTATATACAACGAAAGTATGTGTTCTATCAACTTATAAAAATATATTATAATAAATTAGTAAATCGATCGTAGATAAAAAATGTATTTATCTATTATATTCTCTTATATATTTGAGATAATATTCTTAAAACCTATATAATATAAAAATATACACGCGTATGCATGTAATGCACATATTTTGTGTTACCTGTAAATTTACCTGCATTTTAGTTACTACTAACTTACACGTTTGTGGTAATAGGCGTCGTCGACCTCAAGGTCGCGGCCACTTTCGAACAACGAATTCAAAAAGAAGAAGAAGAAACAGGCACGTTCCTTCGTTCTTGGCTGCTTTCCAACTAGAGCAATACACAAGAATAATCCTGGAGGTAGGTGAGTCCTCTTGTTAGCGTTTCTGTTATCGACTCTTGCGTGTTACAACCGATTTTCTGTATTTACAATAACATATAATATATATATATGTGCTTTTGTACATACATAAATGCAAAAATATTGTACATTTAGAATGTAAGTTTCAAAGTATAATAATCGTGATTGTTAGGTATAATAGTTACGTACAGATTCAATGGATATGAATTTTACGATTGAAATGTTTTTAGATAAAAGATATGAGCTATTTGCAAGGTCATCTTGAAATTATAATCAATAATTATAAATGTTAAATGCGTACAATTTTGCACGAGCTTTATTTGTATTATTCGTTTTGTTTAATATTTTAATTGATCATCTGTGTATCCATAAATATTTGTATTGTTTTTTTTTTCCCGCCAAATATCGGACATCGTTTGACTCATCTTTTTTGGCGGGCAAATTGTAACTGTGTGGGTGAGTGCATCGATCGAAGTACTATCACTTACATGTGAACGTCCCCCAAGAGACCTGTTTTATCAGGAACGGACCTAGTAATCTTGAAGTCTTGAATTCAAGGAGTCCATTATGTTAAATAATGAGAGATTATTTTGATTTTAATCAAGTGGATAATTAAAAATGAAAATTGTTTAGAAGATGTTAATATTTTAATCGAGTTTTAGAAAAAAAGGAATTAATTCTCATTGAAAAATTTAAAATTGACAAGGTGTTGCATCATATTGTATTAGAAGGATTTCAGACATGTATTATTTAAATTTTTAGTGAATTTTTATTATCGATGAAGTAACAATTTGGAAAAAAAGATTGAAAAATTCTATACGTAACATGTATTATTACACTATATGTAACATTTATTGAATGTATCGATATTTGTTGCAATGTTGAGAAATACGCAAAATGAAATATGACCGATATACACAGGTATATACCATCCATGTATGAGAGTTGCATCCTACGAGTTACGAAAGTTATCGCAAGGTGTCGCTACTAGTGATCAAGGAGGATTCAGCCGGAGCTCAGTGTGGCCCGAGCCACGCTAGTGTACGGGTGGGTGGTAGTGGTGGTGGGAGGGTTAGAGAGGTAAGAAGGGTGAAGTTAGCCGCGCATCGTTGGTAGGGGCGAGCGTATCAATCTCTTACGTGTATATGTGTTTGTATATATATAAAGTGCATATGTAATTGTGTGTATATACAGCCTTGGGCTAACTGTGCGCCGTCGAGCTGATTAAGAAAAGAATTCGTGTTTCTGAAAGGAAGGAAGGAAGAAAGGGATTTGAATTTCGTCGGGTATATATTAAAGAAAAGAATAATAGATGAACCGACAAAAAAGAGGACAACAAATATAGCAAGAAGGTGTGAGAGAGAGAGAGAGGTAGAAAGAGAGGAAGAGGGTGAAGTACTCCCTCTCAAGGTATAACAAAAGGGTAGGAAGTACGATGTCGTCCAGTAGACCCGGTCGACGTCAAACTTTTATTCATTGAGAGTCTTTTCGTCGATGTACTCGCTCGTCGCAAATCCGGAGGCTGAATACGACGAGGATAACAGCAGCCATGCCGCGAGTAAACGAAAAACCACTGTTGTCCGTTACGACGATCCACATTCTGAGGAGAATGATGATGACAGTGATGGATCAACATCTTCTGTTAGGATAAGAAAGAAACGCAAGGGGTAAGTTTCAATTGTTATCAATTTTATTTTTTTCACCATCATCCTATTTCCCTTTTTTCTTCCTTCATATTAAAGTGCTGCACATAATGCGCATTTCTATTGGAATTCGGTAAATGAGAAAATGTGCAATAAGAAAAGGGGTTCAGTATACCTTTACCTATTTATTTTACCCCTTTTGTTTTTAATGTTTTGTTTTTAATACAATAGTACGTAGTTATATTTGTATTTGGAAATGAAATAAACATTAAGATAGAGAAAAAAAGGGTACATGGATTTCTTGTTTTATTTTTGTTCTTTTTATATTTCCTTAGTTTAGTGTTTATTTAACTTTTGTGTTTTTGTTTGTGTTTGTGTTGATAACGTAGGCAGGCACATGCGTTTCAGTTCATTACTGTTGATTCTTTCTCTCTTTCTTTCTCATTTTCCCTCTCTTACCAGAGCCTGAATATACACCTTCCCTTTCCATCTTATTTTCTTTCTATTTCTCTCCCTCTCATTGGTTCCACTCGTCGTTCCTGGCTGGCTCCTGCATTTCTCACTTTTATGTGCGTTAGCCTCTCGCGTTCCTGCTCTCCTTCCTTCGAGGTCGATGACACCGATGAACTCATGATACATACACTCTTTTAATCCTGGATCTTCTCCTTTTTACACTATCCAAAATTATTTTTCTTTTCTTCTACTTTTCTCAACCTTATTTCTCACGTTTCTCTTTTACGATCAAAATGAACGACCACATTTTTATTTACAATTGGAAAAAGGAATATAACTTATTTTCTGGCGCCAATTTTAAACATCTCAAAATTATTTTAAGAAATTTCATTTTGATCATTTTCGATTTGAAATATGCATCACATTTGAATTGTGTCCAATCGAAGAAGCTGATGGTGAAATAAATGCATTGGTGAATATTAATCGTTGAATAACAACTTCAAAAATAGCTGAAAAATTGAATCTATTATTCGTGAGATCATTTGGTACATATAAAATCGAGTTAGAAATTATGTCCACATATTTTGCAACAGCCTGTAGATAAAAGTATCAAGTTATGAAGTTAAAGACCACAGAAAGGTCTTTGGGAAGACAGACGACAACGACGACGACAATGACGATGATTCTATAGGCGAAGTAAAAGCTGCAAATAAAGTTGGTCCTACAATCAATGACGTCATACGATATTACTAAAAGGTCAACGACCTTCGCATATCTCGGTCACCTGTCCTATATAAACGTGAACATAGACATACTCACGTAAATGCGTGGATTTTATGACCGAATGAATATCACACTTTAAGTAAGCTTTATCTTCTATCCTATTTTGCTTAGATTAATTATGAATTATCAAAAGGTTAAACATCTGACGTCTTAAATAGAATGTCGATCAATCGATCATTCAATCAATTGATTTTCTTTTTATTTGTTTATTTATTTATTAATGCAAATATCGTCTAACTCGATCGATAAGTGTAGTTCTCTAACGTTAGTTTAACTACGGGCATTAGATTAAAAGCAGATAAAATCGCAGAATGAAAATACAGTGTTTAAATAATTTCATATTACTCCTGGCTATGTATATATAAGGCTGAGGATATTTTTCAAAAGACGGTCGTTTAACGGTAAACGGAATAACGAATAAGAAGTAGTCCGTAAAATGTTAATTCCAAATCGTTGCCAATTATGCACGTTATCTTTTCTAATTATAAGAAGCATATCGTGCATTTCAAAATTTATATTAGAAATTATTTGTTTTTTTTTCAGATATTCAGAGGTAATAAATAAATGTGTAATATAATTTGCGTTTTAGTATTAATTAAAAAGAATAGTAAATTATATACATTATTGTTTCATCAATTAAATAACTTATCAAATACTAATTGAACTTAATAAATTATTATTTGAAATATATATTTAGTTTACTTATGAAGAACGAAAATTTATTTTTAGTTTGTTGGTAAAATAATTTTAGAAATCAAAGACGATTTAAATGTTCATATTTAGAATTCAAGGCTTTATCGAATTTAATAAATTCAATTTCTCAGTTATTTTTCCTGATGTTATAGGACAATTAATGTCCACTAAAACCTTCATTTATGAGGGTCGGATATATACGACATCTTATGTACACATTTTTCATTTAGGACTCATTTCAGTTAGTGGCACCCACTCTAATGGAACGAATTATCCGTACGGAAGGGTAAATTTTTATGATAACAAGGAAATGAATTGTCGAACAATCTAATATTTGTACTTATATTTTCTCTCGAAAATATCATTTGCACATTATTTGGATTATCGAAATATAAAAATAGACGACATAGAAAATAATTGATGTCTTAGATATGCACGTATGCTTCAAGCAATTACGTCAAAGTTGTTAGACGTTATAAAGACTCGATCATACACCTCACATGTTCCCTTTTACTTTACCTTTTTCAAACCATTACGTCAGCTTTGCGACATTCGCACGATATAACATCGAAGAGTTTCTCGTCATCGTCATCGATCGACGAAACGAGCGTAACCTCTTCCTTCCTTCCATGAAAATATCAAACGTCCTATTGGTGGTAGGCCTCTAATTTTATCTACCACCCCTTCGAAGGTATAACAAACTTTTATACACCATATTCTTTTTAAAACCTTGTA